CCCCACCCCTACCCCCAAAAAAAAAAGTCTTCTAAGAGACCTTTTTTTCTGCAAAATATCTTCTAAGAGATTTAACTTCTTTTCTTGGATGATTAAATGATAGGCAACGTGTACTTCTCTTCACTCCACAACACCTCCTACTTCACCCCTTGGATATATCAATAATAAATTATCAAATTAACCGGCTAACTCAAACCGCGAAGAAGATTAAAACAACATGAATACTTGACAAACAAAAAGCTAATTCACTTGATGCTTTTCAAAGGGATAACATACCAAAGCAAGACGAATCAGTAGGTGGATTCAGTGTTTTATCCAAAAGATTATCAATCAAGTCAAAACCAATAAATTACATGCCTTCTTTAAAACAAGGATGGAGAATTTTTTACCAACCTTCCATGAACACTATAGTACACATTAAATTACTCAACTTTAACAAATTTCTCAGGCAAATTTTGTAATTTTGGACAATAAATTCAAATTTTTTTCAACGTTGGGGTCCGAACCAGCTTGCGCATGCCTCTGACTATTCCACCGGGTACCTGCTACCTCCCACCAGAATAAGTACAAAGTAACTGCCCACCATGGCTTATCCAGGTGAAGAAATGATGTGGTTTTGAAAGAAAACACAGAAGAAAATTGCAGAATTGAAATCTAAGAAGATGAGCTAATAGTATCTCATATCATAAGAACCAGTATACAGCCATTGTTTCGTACATATACTCTCATAGTTGGGCTAATTTGTAAAGTAAATAACTAATGGGCCTAATTGAAATATAAGACAAGGACCAAACTGTAACTTCTCAAACTAAGTAACTAACATAACTACTTTTATTCCATTACTACTCTTAAAGCCTAAGGTACTCCTCTCGTCTGTACAAGCTCTCATTCAGGTCATATCAAGAAATCACTAGTGTCTTTTGAATCCATTGGGATTTAATTTCCTACAATAAATTCTTTTTTTTTATGATTGTAGTGTCCGAAGTAGCTTGCGCGCACCTCGACTATTCCACTAGATTCCTAATACCTTCCACCAGTATCAGGTAACTTTACCCACCAAGCTTTAGTCAAGGTAAGAGATCACTAGCTTCTATTTTTTTTGTTTTTTTGTGCATCCGTTGGGATTTAATTTCCTACAATAAATTCTGTTTCTGTCTAATCCCGCCATAAATTTCCAGAAAAAAATAAACAGCCTTAACTCTCTTTGATTTTACCATGTTCTCTGATTAAACCAATTTCATTAATCATAACCACGTTTAAGATCACTTTGTTTAAAGGCGCTCACTAATTTCTCCAATAAAAGTAACTCATATAAAATAGTAAGAGTACTAGATTTTAAGCAATAATCACTAATCTAAATCATCAGTTTCATAATCCAAACAAAACAACATAATCTAATCGCTTCACCTAGTTAGATCAATAAAACATAATAAAAATTAAACAAAAAACACATATTAATAAACAAATGAATAGATCACTCATCAAGGAAACACAAATTTCAAGTTTAAAATAAATAAATAAATAAATCGAAACGATGAACATACCTTAGGGAGAATTGAGACGAGAATTCGTCAAAAAGAAAAGAGAGAAAAATAGAAAGAGAGACTGACACGGCAGTTATGGAATTTCTAAAGAAAACGGAGGGAGCGTTTTGTATATATAGTTATTCTAATTGGGCCCCACAAAGAAATATAAAATACCGACTTTACTTCCCTATATATTTTGTTGGCGTTTGAACATAAGAATTGTGAATTTTTTTAAAAAAAATAAATATTCAAGTAAAAATGGTATTTGAAAATTAGAGATATATTTGGATATGAATATCAATTGGAGCTATTTTTGAATTTTTGTGAGTGATTTGAAGTGAAAATTAATTTTTTGGAGCTTTTCAATTTTCAAAATAATTCTGAAATTCAACTTAAGTGAACGGGCCCAATTCTTTATTTTCATTTTCCCCTAGATTAGAAAAGTAAGGGAAAAAAACAAAAATAGCCATATTTATCATTGGCAATTGAAAAATAGCCACAGTTCTAAAAGTAATCGAAATCTAGCCACTTTTTTATGTAAAGATAAAATCTGAACAAAAATACCCTTAAAATTTCGGAAATATTCTAGCATAATATGCTGGAGTTCGAAGTTTTACATATGAGCTTCCAACATAATGTGGTGGATTTTCATAATGTGCTAGAGTTCCAATATAATATGCGGGAAGTTTATATGCAGGAGCTCCATAATCGAGCATATTATGCTGGAACTTTCCGTGTTCTGGAGTTCCAACATAATATGCTGGAAATTTATATGCAGGAGCTCCATAATCTCGCATATTATGCTAGAACTTTTCGTGTGGCGGAGTTCCAACATAATATGCTGGAAGTTTATACGCATGAGCTCCATAATTCTGCATATTATGCTCAAACTTTTCGTGTTTCAGCAAAACAATGACTATTTTTCAATGACTTTGCAAACACTGACTATTTTTCGATTACCAATTCGAAAATGACTAGCTCATGCTATTTTCACGAAAAGTAACCATCAACAAGTAAGTAATTTATTTTATGACAATAATATTCGAATTAACTTACGTGCATTTAAAACAAGCAAGTACTTATTTTAAATCTAGTTTAAAAAGAATATCAAAGAATTTTACAAAGAAGAGGATCTTGAAGGACGTTTTTCTTTAGTGTAAAACTATTCATTCTTTATTTATTTGAAATTGTAAAAAAAGATTCAGAAACTATTATAAATGATATTAGTTTTTTTTTTGTAAGTAAATGATTTTATTTACCTGTATCAATATATACAAAACAGCAAATCAAATTGATCCTAGACAGACCTTAGGCTCAAACAACTCTATCTACTCAGCAATCATACAATTCTAAGGATAAAAGTTCTGTTCTTCAAGCTTCCTTGATAGTCTACTCTGCATTAATCTTCTACTTATCACCTCTTGAATAATATATTTAATTAGCACTTCAATATGTTGTTGTTGCACTTGAAAACTCTCATATTACTTTCTCTCCAAATATGGTATACAACACAAACACAAGCCAGAATTAAATTTCTAGTAAATACATACTTGCATCCGGTGTTTATATCAAATCAAATAATTTAGTTTTAGTAGTTCAAAATTAAAGAAAAAAATATAACAGTTAGGGATACCGCTTCGTCAAATTTTTTTTACTAATCTTTCATATATAATCCAAATGAAAAAAATAAGAAAACAGTAAAATATAATAAAATGATAGCGCTTGTCACAAAGAGCTAAGTAACTTATGAAGTTGGAGTTTGAAAATTTCTATGTGAGGCCAGCCTCATTTTATGTTTTAATACTTTTGATGTGAGAGTTTGAATAATGCAACTTATTCAATGTTTTAATATTTTTGAACTACTAACCTCTTAGAGATTATCAAAGCACTAAACTAGTGGATCATAAGTGGTGAGAATATTACAATACATTTTTAATATTTAGGGGTGATGCTGTTTTGGATCTTAGTGCCAAGCTTTATCTCCTCTATTGATTTGGTTAGCGTGTTGCATTTACCAAAATATGGCCACTGCATTGTGTGAATCCCATCTGCTGAAACAGTCAAAATATCCAATGGCGAGCGATGAGCATCTATCTGCATCTCTGTTATGTAAGAGCCGACGGCTCGGTGCACAAAACATCCCCATTCACGCAGGGCCAAAGAATGTGATGTAGACAGCCTACCTTAATGTAAATATTAGTGTCTGCTTCCGCAGCTCGAAATAGTAGTAACTATAGTAACATTATCACTAACTCATAGTTCAGAAATCAGCTATCCCACAACATACCAGTCATAAAAATCAAGCAACATGATATAGTTATTGACATTACATACTACTGACTTCAGAGAATATAATACTGCATATTATTCAAAACTTCTTGCTTCCTAGATAATATGATAGTACTTAATCAATAGACTACTCGAAGGAGCATAGCGTAAAGCTGCTAAACCGCTATATGGATCTTGTTTCCGTTCTTTCAGCAGACGCGCCGCTTGAGGGATGAACATGACCTTCAGATTGCTCAGACAAACGCGAAGAAATTACTTGCGATTTTGTTTCTTCATGATGCAGGTCATCCATCTAGTAAACCAGGAAAAAGAAAAGACTATAAGAATGTTGCAGATTTTTCTACTTTACGTTCAAGGACAAGACGAGGTCTCTGCCCGCTTACCTGAAGAGTTCCCAGTAATTGGCCGCTAACATGAGCGGCCAATCCAGGCGCTAGACGCTGTGCACCAGTACTGGCTTCCTGCTCAACTGCTGCACCGGCATTTGTGAGATGAAAGTGACCTTCATATTCCTCAGACAAACGCGAAGAAACTACTCGCGACTTCATTTCTTCATGCCTGTCATCCATCTAGTAAACCACAAAAAAAGAAAAGATTATTAGAAAGGAAATCACTACAAACTTTGTCAGCTAAATTGCTCATAGCTAACAAGAGTTTCTGATAATTTGTTGCTAACCCGTAACTTAGTAGGATTAGCGACAGATTTTGCTGTTTAGCTACAAAATTTGTCCGTCTGTTTTTTAAGTAGTGAATGATGCAGATAAGTTTAATCTTCAAAAGACATTTTGCACGCAAAAGAAGATAGATTATAACATTCAAGAAATAAGACTACATCTCTGCTCACTTACCTTAAGCGCTCCCACTAATTTGTGGCTAAGCACATCAGCACCCGAGTCAGGCATGAGTCGTCGCGCACCAGTGCAACATTCCTGCTCCATTACTAAACTGACATTTTTGAAATTGGATGATTGCTATTCAGAATCAACATAAACTTCTTCATAAACTTCACCATTGTCAGAAACATCATCAAAAACTCGAACATCAACCTTGTAACGAAGAATAGCGCCAATGCCACCAAAACCACGACAGAACTGAGATCCTTCTTGTGATTTATCTGTAACAAATTCCAAACTACAACCAAATTTCCTGTACTCATTAGCTAACCACTCAAGTAAAAGCATTTTATCCATAATCTCTAACTCCCCATTTGTAGTAGGTTCGCGAAAGTTACTCTGATGTGCATCTTGCTCCTTATTCAAGTACTTGATTATTGTTTCTCCAGTACTGCTATTTTTCAAAACATATCTAGTAACGTCGAGATTTTCCCACACGATAATGGTCTCAATAGCACCCGTGTCTAGAACTTGCATTGTATCATCAACGCCAATGATATACTTCCCAGTGTCCTGACTAATCTCCTCAAAATACTTTCCAATAATATCGATCTCGTGCATAAATTTCACATTGATCAAGTGCTCAGCAGATAACTTAATTGCTTGGCTAAAACCATCTTCCCCTCCATACGAAACATCAACCATATTTAATATCTTTTCCCTAAGACGACGATCAAACATATTAGAATAGCTAAGCTCTGTCTTAAACTCTGCTGATCCAGCTAATATCAGGCCTGAAACATTAGGCTGGCAAGTTGATGGATTAATATAAAAATGTGTTGCAAGCTCTGCTGTTTTTCTCACATAGTTATGTCGTTTCTCCATTCTAAGACGATCAAAACGCAACGATGACTGTCCACCTCTCCCGTGTTTTTTTGGCAAATCAACACTAAACTTGTGAATGACATTCCTGGTACTGCCACTCAATGTCCCGAAAAGTGTCCCGTGTCCATCCATCACAATAAACCCAAACTTCTCATCACATTCCAAAAGTTCATTCAACGGTTCTGTATGGAACTTGTTATCACAAAGATATAAAGACGCGTTAATTGGCCTGAATGGCTCAAAATCATATGTAACCTTCTTGTCTTTCCCGTCTTCAGCCATGATCGTTCCAGTGTATAGCACGAGCCCGTTTGGTGGTACCTTGTTGTAGAGTTTAAGTCTTTGTCGAGCAGATGTGATCGCGCCCAATACAGATTGGCGATTCACTCTACTTTTGATGTTGGATGCAGTTCCAAACCCATCTCCAAGCATCTTAGTGACGCGTGATATTTGATCGCGAGGAGGCATTATTAGAGAAATCATGCTCGTACCATTGCCTCGAGCAGATTCTAATGCCTTTATTAGTTTCTTGATCTTCCATATCTCTATATTCTCGTCGTTCTTGTGATCGTCTGTCATCATTGTATGACAAACTGCAGTTCAAACAAAAAAATCCACAGATTATTTAGTACACAAACAAAGACGCTACAAAAAAAACTGGAATTAGCTACGAATTTCATCACTAATTTATCGTTAAATGCTCGTAGCTAGCAGAATTTCTTGATAATCTGTCGCTTATCCGTCACTAAATGACATTAGCGACGGATTTTTCTGTTTAGCTACAGAATTTGTCGGTCGCTAAAACCTAACAAGCTAATACCAAACGCAATCCCCTAATGACAAACAATGCCTAAGCGTTCGAATATTGAGATATGGAATATCAATAAATAAAAGAATAGCATCTTACAACAAATAATTTTGTTTATGAAGAGAATCTTATTAGAGATTTTACTCTTCTTACTTTCTTTCAAGGGAAAAATCTTTCTTTTATCATCCAAAAGTCACGAGTGGTAGATGGTTTAGAGGTATGGAAATAAAGACATACTAGGACGATCACAATAGGTCATGGGTTCGAGTCGTGGAAGCAGGGGCGAAGTTATGTTGGGTTAAGGGTGGTCAGTTCGTCGAAAAACTATAGTTTTGTGTATATAGGTAAAATATTAGGTTTTATAGGTATATAGTAATATATATTGAACACACTTTGTTATGGAATTTTTCTCTTCTTTCAAGTTTGAATACCCTTGGGAAATTTCTCGCTTCTCCATTGCGTGGAAGTAATACTCGCATTAGGATAGCTGTCTACATCACACCCCTTCCCCGAACCCTGCGTGAATGCGAGATGCTTTATGCACGAGCTACTTTTTTTTTAGGATGATCACAATATTATTTTTTTTGGGTTTCCCACCCGATGTCCGGTACCCGTATTGGAGCTCGACTATATTCGAATTCACGCCGCTAATAAGGGCCTCATTCGGGGGAAGCGCTCCCTACCAAGGATTTTTCCATATCCAGACTCGAATCCGAGACCTCTGGTTAAGAGAATAGCAGTCTCATCCACTGCCCCACATCCTTTAGTGGTAGGATGATCACAATATATTCTTTCAACAGGCAAAATTAACGAAACATATTGATCATATACCTTCTGAATTAATCAGCTAACTCAAGTCAAGTAGGAGATTAAAACAAGCATAATCAATATCTAACAAACAGATACGAATCCTCAGTCCTAGACAAGTTGAGATCGACTATATGAATCCTCAATGTTAAGCTCAACTCATACAGAAGTTTGAGATTTCAAGCAAAAAATAAAATTTAATTAAAACAATTTTGTTAAACATACCTTGGAGAGAAGTAAGACGAAAAACGCAAAACGAGAAAGAGTATAATACTTTGGTAGAATTCTGGAGGGAAAGGTAGGTATTTATAGGTTACTCTGGGCTTATAATTAAGTTTACGAAGAATTAACATAAATAGCCGCCACCCAACCGTTTAAACTAAAATAGTAATATATGTATCATTCATGTATTATATATTTATAATCTTGTATAACTAATTTATAATATATGTATACCGGCTAGCAAAATATAAGTAAATCCGGCTGGTTATTTGTATAAATATCCCTAATTTTATTGCTATTTTCTTTCTTAGTGGTTTTTTTGTGTGGTGGGAGTGGGGGTGGGGTGGTGGGGGTGCTATAGGTTAAATTTTCTTGGTTGGAAAGAATTATTGACTAGCTTAATTTATTTCCGTAAAAATTAGTGGTACTTTTCTTGGAAAACAAGATTTTCTTCTCCAATAAAGATTAATGAAGAGAACGATAATTTATGGAAATATGTCTTCGGAACGGGATGAAACTCTCTATTATTGTAAAAACTAACTTTATGTGCAAACACATATCATGTATTTATTGGTCGATATAAACACGTGGGTTATTTTAAGAGTGAATAATTATGGCAAGTGAATTATTGTTGGGAACTTAAAAAAATTGTTATTAAGAAACTGTTGGTGAGATTAATTAGATCAATATTTAATCAAATTAAATTTGACATTGTAAGGGGCATATTTTCTTTATATTTTCATCAATTTGAAACTCCAAAATCCAAATAAACATGTTCCTAAATCCTACCGGGACAGTTTATCGCTAAAACACTCAGAAACTGAAATTTTAATGCGAGTTTTATCTATTAATTTAATGTTCTCTAATATTCATGATATTATTTTCTGATCTGTTTTTAGTGTAAGGATTGGATATTTGAAATTCTTGTATCTTTTTTAAGTGTTAAATTGGATATAAAAGTATGTCACATGTGATAACCATATTATAATGTTGACAACATCATCAACTGATTTTTGCTCTACGGCTTGAACCTATGATCTCCTTGGCACACGGCGATAACTCTTACTATGATTACGCAGAGGCAGAGCTAGAAATCCGACTACGGGTTTGGCTGAACTCAATAGCTTTTGCTCAAACAATATTTTGTGTCAAAAAATTCATTGAACATGAACAAATATTAAATTTAAAACTATTATTAACACTTGAAATCGTCGTTCTAAAATCTAGAACCCATAAAGTTTAAAGTCCTAGCTCCGCCTCTGTGACGAGGAACAAAACTTAATTTACATATCAATGTATAACAAGGCTAATATTACAAAGGAACTTCCATAAATATAACTTCAGTTTTTTGGCTGTACAATTGCTACACAGATGAACTATCAAGAGCAGATTAAAAGTAACACTAAAGTTATATGCACAGTAGATGTACATTTTGGACAAATTGTCAATTGTGTTCTACTGGACAAGTTATGTAGAGTTTCTTCTTCTACTGTACATTCACCGATAGAGTGGCAACTCGAGCAGGACAGGCTGCAGTTTCGGCTTTAACATAAAGCTACGATGAACCTCAAGATTGTTGTTCGCAGTCTTTACTTTCATGATAATGAGGACGTTTCTGCTGTTAAAAGATTGAATTCCCGTTCCAAGGTCCACGAAGACTTGTTCTGATGGTTGACATTGTAGACGTACTCCAGGAAGTATCCGCCATATGTGATCATTGATATAGTGGCTCTACAGAATCAAATACAGACCAAAGAGAGTAAAAAGGAAGAGCCATCCATTTTCAAACACAAACTCAAACGATTTACGGAAACTTGGTATGATAACATACCAATAAATCTTCAGTAAATCATCCAATACTATAGAAATGTCACATTATGAGTTAAATACACCCCAACCCCAAAAAAAAAAAAATGAAAACCAAACCGAGGGAGGATCAAAAGGGTGCTACGTTGACATAACTCGAAATAGGAGTACCATTTAAAGATAATACTTATAACCTGAACACTAAAACCCCAAAGCTTCGAGTTTCATTAACTCAAGATGCTTGGATTATATAGCAAGTAGCTTTTTTGAATCTGCAGATCATATAACTAATAACTAGAGGCTAGAGCAGAGGATTGTTGACACCTCGTGCTCAGCCTCAGTATTACTATGTCCAAAATATAAAAAAAATTATGTATTGTGACATTGCATCTCATTGGCACTTCGGCCGCTCATTAGAAGCTTATGATTACTAGTGGCAAATACTAATATTACCAGTTCATGAAATAGGGTGAATATTACAGGAATAGATGCACAATAAATAAATGGAAACAGTCACATTTTCTCACCTTAGTACGACATGTTCAGGTGTTGCTGTCTCGTCAAATTTCTCTATTTTGCGGATCACTGTATTACTGCATGACAGTGTTTAAGAAGAATTTTGATGAGAGATAGATTTCAGGAGATTTATTTCCTAAAGATAGAAAAGGCGGAAGACAAACTGAAATTCGATTGAAGAGTACAGAAGAAATTCATACTAGTTTCATTGTTCAAAAGCAAGATTTCTTTTTGATGCAAAACAAGCCAATTGAAAAAAATACAGATTATCAAGTCGATTATATCTTCTTTATAAGAAAAGGATTATTAGTATCTCCTCCACATTTGTGAAGTCTCTTTCCAACGTAGTGAAGGGGAACTTTGATGGAGTAATTAGACCTCTTTCTGCAGCTACCAGCAGCTGATCCCAAAATTTCATTAACAATCTTATAGGTCAAATTATGCGCTTTCAGTCATAGAAGAACTCCAGTTCTTTTATCCAAATAATTCCAGCTCTTATCTTGGTATGAACTCAAGAAACCTATTATTTTTCCATAGCGTTTGAAGGGCAATCTTACTGACTTTGAATTCCAGGTACAGGTTGCCCAATTTATTTTTGAACAAGCTTGAAATTGCTGTTATAGTTTATGTTGCACGGACTAGAGTCTACTGCACCTGTGTCGGATCCTCCAAAAATGCTTTGATACACACCCGACGATATTTTCAGCGAGTCCGAGCAACATATTATAGTCACTTTGTTAGGAGAATCTGATATTAAAATGTCAATTCTACTCAATCATCAGAAATAGCGAGGCAGTTGAAAGAGGTAACAACAAAAGTCTCTGTCACTTGTAGATGCGAGGAGCAGAGGTGACACCATCATTACGCAGGATAGCTAAAGCGGGAGACACCATATTTCATAATAATAGGCAGGACAATTTGCAACACCTATTTCTAGAAAAGATTCGACAAGTACTATAAAACATCTGGAATTTCAGTAATGATGTAAGGTCTTTAAAGTTTAATCCGAGAAGAGGCTGTGGCCCTTGGTACAGCAACCAACTTGCTGGCTAAGAGAACAATGACAGGGTAATATTTTGGAAATCATAATATCAAAGTAATTGTGTAAAATCTCAATATAAATAATTTTCAAGTATAATCACAGGATCAAAGTGCAGAGAGGTCATCTGAATAATTTTCATGAAAGTAGGGAATATAGATGCAAAAAAAAACAACTTCAAGTGCGTGAAAAAAAGGTAACAGGTTTTGATAATTAGGTTGCCTTTGTTAAATATGTACTGAAAGTTGCAAATACTGCCAATTTAGTATACGTCAAAACATCAAATTTGGATGGTATACTTTGTGGATAGAATACAATACCTTCTCACTCCAGCTGGAACAGCACGATGCAGTATGCAATGTTGAGCAGGATCCAGGGCGT